AAAAAAAAAAAAAAGAAATAAAAGTTCGAGTGTTTTGCTGCAGAGTGAGATTTCCACTGGTGTGTGAGAATTTGTGTGTGAGAGATGGATGGAAGTAGAGAGAGAGAGAGGGGGTGCTGACAAATTTTGCTGTAAAAGTTGGAACTTTGCAAGAAGAGATATGAACCCTTTCGATTGTTTTTACTGCCGTGAACTGAAATAGGTAAGGTTTGTTAATTTTGGTCAAAATTGTTAAAAATCAAGATATTATGGAAAGATGTTGTGGTCCGGTTACGGAATCATTCTGAGTTTTTAACCGTTAGATTAATCATCCACGACAGTTACATGATGATCTACTGAATTTTTAACCGTTAGATTAATTATCCACGACAGTTACATGATGATCTAACGATTACAAATGCCGACGAAATAGTTCCGTAACGGGACCATAATATCTCATGATATTATGAATATAGAATTCACTAATATCCGTGCAATTAAGAAAAATCATTAGTGGATCTTTTTCTTGGTGGGTATTTTTTATTTCCAAATTAAGGATATTAGGAAATGCATTCAATTTTGTTATAAATTGTTATATGTTGTTCTTTATTTATTTTTTTCAACTTCAACAAAATGTTTTTTTTTTATATTTTATTGTATATTTAATTATTTATACAAGTAAAACGGAAAAAAAAAAAAAAAAAAAAAGATCAAAGGAACATGAAATTTGGTGGAGATCACATGTCGCTTTTATGACTAAAATATTAGTATGTGATAAAATTGAAAAATAGTTTAAGAGAAAAATGTCATCAAATTTTGTTCTCAAGTCTCAACAATACCTGTAAAGCACTATTAGCTAATAACGGATAAATAACAGTATTCAAAGTTTACATTGATATATATTTTTTTTTTAATCATGTCAACTTAAATACGGGAGATTTTACGATTTCGTTACGCAACTATTCTATCAGTGTTTGTACCGTTAGATCGTTTATCCACAACGGTTACGTAATGATCTAACAATTACAAATTCCGGCAGAATGGTTCTATAACGGAACTATAGCATTTCCTTATTTTTTTACCATATAAGGGCATCTCCAATGGCAATAGCTATTACTAGCTATATAGTTAGCTGACGTGGATGTGAGAGATAAGAAAAATGACTATTTTACACTATTGGACCCACATACTCCTCTCACATGATCTTGGGCTACGTGAAATAGATAAGCTATTTGTTTGTAGCTAGTGACTACTCTCTCTCTTACTTTTTCCCTATCCACGTCATAATAGTTAGCCAAATAGCTAACCATTGGAGACGCCCTAAGTCAAGTTAATTAAATTACCTAAAAGTTTGCACCTAGATGGCTAGGTAATCTGTGGTAAATGCATTGAGAACAAATTAAATATATTTTATTTAATTCACACCACCTTTTTTTTTTCTTGAATTATTAAGCTAAATTTTGTGGGACCAAATACCCATTCTTATATTTCGAAATACCGTTAAACCATAGACAGGTTTATTAGGGGCCATTACTAAAGGGTAGATGGGACATTTTCATTTAATAAATCATCTATTTTAATGAAAAATAAGGGGTTGAAATTATTGCTTTACAAATCATTTTTATTCATGAAAAACGGTAACACACATAAATTTTATACCAAACTCGTTTACCTATCGGAAATGTGTCGAAGGTTGTATTGTATATAAAAGGAAATGAAATAAATAAAATTGCATTCAGTTTTCTTGGTTGAATGTACAAAGTAAATAATTCAATGTGTTTCCTTAGATATGGAATTCGTGTGCTTAAGGTTGATAGTATGGCCACCATACTTTTTTTTTAATAAAGTATATATATATAGGGATGTTAAGATCCCGTTACGGAACCATTCCGTCGGGATTTGTAACCGTTCAAAGATAATTGATCTAACGGTTACAAACCTTGATGGAATGGTTCCGTAATTGGACCGTAGCATCTTCTATAATTTTAGTATTTTTATTTGTGTTGTTTTAAAATATATACTATATGATAGGGTAGGATTCATCTACATGTGACAATATTCTTAATCTTAATGCCTATGGTGTATATATACCTGTTAGAAAGACACTTCAAAAACTGTAACATGTCCATTTGATGTAATTAAGTAACTATGAAAATGATGTTGTAAGGATCAAATGGATTTTCGTCACTAAAAGGGTAATTTTAAATAAAAATTATGCATTTAATTTAATATTTTGTTCCTATTATTATTAAAATCTATTAAAAGATCAGATCAAATTGAAATGATGATTGTAATTTTTAGATCCCACTTTGGGCCATGTCTTTCGAGGAATGTAGTTCGAAATTGAATTCAAACAATGATTGATTCACAAAAAAGAAAAAATAAAGGGTCGTAAACATTCTAGTTGCAATTTGGTGGTTGATTTAAGCTAAGTGAATAAAATTGAAAGCTTGAATGAACGCAAGAAGCAAACTTTAACAAGCAAGACGCAAACTTTAATGCACGTACTGACGTAAGTCCTCAATTTGTAAGAACAAAAATATAGAGAGAAAAATGACTAAGAACCATAAGAACCTAGGTGGAAAAAAGTTACTCAAAGGTTCGGAGACAATTAATCAATTAATTATCACTCACAATGAACTAATCGAGTATCAATTCATGCTCACGCAATCAACCGCAAAATCACCTATTCTATGGCTTACGGGGATGATGACCTAATTCTCCAAGTCCAGTAGCATCCACGAGTAGAAATAAACCGAAAAGTTGCATAGTTGATGAAGAAATATTACAATAAAAATTGGGTATTGGATACCTGGGAGAGAAAGAAACTGAGAGAGAGAGAGAGGGGGAAATTTTAGAATGATTTTTTTTACATATGAGGAATTGTTTTCAAAAAACAAGGGATTAAGTCTATTTACAGTTATACTACAAACACATACTAAAACACACACATTTACTAAATATCGCTCGCAATCTAGCCAAAATGTTCGTTATATTGCGAGTTGGCAGGCAAGGCCACACACAACACTCGCATGGTCTCTGGCTCGCGGGTAACGGGCCTCAACGACGGGCATGCGAACTGGCAATGTTGGCAGGCATCGCGCGGGTGTCTTTGGAGATGGGCAACACTCACTACCTGGCGATAAGGTTCGCTATTCGAGATAGGCACTCGCTACTCGACGCGTGTGTTCGTTGGTCGTGAGTGTGCGAGTCTATGCGGGTGTCGCACATGCGTGTGCTGGCAAGGCCTGGAGTCGCGCGGGCGTTGACGGTGGTTGCTAGCCGAAGGTGTGCAGGCCTGCGCGTACATCCTTGGGAGCGACGTGTTGGCGTCCCTGGTGATGCATGCGAGCCGGCTGCGGTGTGTGCGCTCGTCGGCTAGGCCTGGGTGACGGTTGCTGCAGGGCTCGAGTCCACCATACGCTTACTGTGCCGACCGGCCGGGAACTCTCCGACAATTTTTTTGGTGATTTTTCGGCTAGTTTCCTGGTGATTTTCAACGACTCTCCAGAACGTAAATTTCTCACAAAATAAAAGATAAAAAGAGAAATGAAAAACACAAAACAATATGAAAACACAAAAATGAGCTCAAAACGACTAAAAAGACTGAAATAGAAAAAACATAAAATAAAACACCTAAAAACACATAAAATAACAACAAAAATATACAAAGAACTGAGTAGTGGTACGGCACTCGTAAATTGCACAAGGGTTGATTAAAAAATTTATACTTAAAAATAGAAAATTAATTTATTTTTTTTTTAAATCAAACCTTCTTAGAATGTTACATTATTTTATCGATATTTAGAAATATAGATATATTTTATTATTTTATATTTGTAATATGAATGTAAAATTAAAAATTGTCAAAAGACGATGAATTTGATATATTACACATAAAAAAATGATTACAAATAAAATATTATTAAGTCTAAAATATATTTTACAATATAAGTTGATCAAACGTTTTACAATTTTAAATATTTTGATAATATGGATGAAAGTTCAAATCCACAAGAATTGCTCTAAACCGCACAAGAATCTAACACATAAGGTTGCGAATCACTTGATACATAGAATTACGAAACACTAGAAATGAATATGGACTTTAAAAACTCTACATCATATATAATTAAAATCAACGCCAACCATCAAACTATTTCTCAATATGG